GGCAAAGAGATCCTTTATCTCCTTTTCTTTTTTGTTGATTGGAGAAGGATTGTGTGGTTTAGTCAAGAAAGTGGAGATGGAAGGGTTGTTGCATGGTATTGAGGTTGGGAAAAGAGGGTTGGCTATTTCGTTGCTCCAATTCGTTGATGACACAGTTATCTTAGGAAGGGCAGATAGTCAAAATGTTTTTATGATTAAATCCATTTTGCGATGGTTTAAATTGATGTCCGAGTTGCGGATTAATTTAGCAAAAGCAGTGTTTATGGATTAAATGTGTCGGAGAGGTGGTTAAAAGGGGTAGATATTACTTTTAGTTGTGGAGTGGGGGAATTCCCGTTTAACTATTTGGGGTTGCCTGTTGGTGGGAACCCAAGAAACAAAAAGCTGTGGAGTCCAGTTGTGAAAAAGTTCTATGCCAAACTTGCCATCTGGAAGTTTGTTGTACTTTCCTTTGGGGGTCACCTCACTCTACTCAATTCGGTACTTTCTATTTTACCTACTTTCTATATGTCTTTACTTTTAAAGCCAAAAGCAGTGATTTCTGAGTTGATTTCTATTCAAAGGAATTTTTTATGGGGTGGGCCTGAGTTAAAAAGGAAGATTGCTTGGGTCAAGTGGGATCTTATTTGTTGTAGTAAGGAGAAAAGAGGTTTAGGGGTGCAGGATTTACATAGGAGAAATTGGGCGCTATTAGGAAAGTGGTGGTTTCAATTTGGTGATGGTGTGGTGAATTTATGGAAATAGGTGGTGAGGGATAAATACTATGGGGGTAAGGAGATGGTTGATATCACTGCAGTGGACACTTGGCAGTTGTCCAAGATTTGGGGAGACGTTATTCATATAGGAGGGAATTCTGAGAGGTTACGAAATTTGCTAGTGAGAGGGTTTAAATGGGAGGTGAGTAATGGGAGGTGAGTGATGGTCGAAGGGTGGGTTTCTGGAGAGATATTTGGGTGGGAGATAAACCTTTACGTGATTTATGTCCTAAATTATATGCATTGAGTACGAACCCAGAGGGTATGGTTAGTGAGATGGGGATTGGGAAAGGGATAGATGGTGTTGGAGTATTGCATGGAGAAGGGAAAGAATTGCAGAGAGAGGGATGAGGAGGAGTTGTTAATGAAGTTGTTAGGAAAGGTTCAAATAAATATTGGTGGGGATGATTGTTGGAGATGCGTGCATGATTCTGAAGGAAATTATGCAGTGAAGAAAGCTTATGAGTTCTTAGCTCCTTTGGAGTCTATTCTGCAGGGCCAGCTTTGTAGATTGGTTTGGTGCAATTTAGTGCCATCCAAGGTATCTTTTTTTGGGTGGCGATTATGTCTTGATAAACTTCCAACAAAAGGGAACCTATATAAAAGAGGGGTAGCTATGTAAGAAGGAAATTTAATGTGTAGTTTTTGCAATGAGGCAGTGGAGGAAATAGATAATTTATTTTGTAAATGTAAGGAAGTAGAGTAAAGGTCCAAATAAGGACTTGAACTTTGTAATTTGTTCTATTTAAGGATGTAAACTTTCTCAGTTTCTAAATAAGGCGGTTAACTTTCAATTTTTTTCTAATTAAGGATGTCAACTTTGAGTTTTTTTCTATTTAAGGATTAATTGATGGAGATGCTGACGTGGCAAACGAATTTTAAACGGATGTCTTAAACGGAATGTTGATGTGTATAGATATAATTTTAATTTGCTGATGTGTTTGCTGACTGGACCAAAAAATTGATTAAAAAAAACAAATCAGATTAGTGGGCCCATTTACCTTGGAAGATCATACGACAAAGCAAAAAAGAAAATGGTGAACCCTAGAGTTTGACACGGCGGGAAGAATCCCTCCAAAGTCTCTTTGACATTTAAAGTTGATGATGTTCTCCCAACAACCAAAATAAAAGTGCCAAAGAATCCATGCTTTACTCTGATTCTACTGTCTAATTTTGTAGAGGACTAGACTTGCTTTGAAGGACATTCTGTTGCTTTGCAGACTTGAAGTGTCTTTCTTTTCATCTTTTCAAGGTAAAATTTCATGAATTATTTGTTAAACTATTTTGAATCACGTGCAAAGAATGAGATTAGCAATAGTTTATTTTAAAATTTTATGAATCTTTCAAATAATTTATGTCTCATGTCATAAGTCTAATATTTTTAATCCTTTATTCTGTTTTGTTCGGTTGGTGGGTGTGCATTACTTTTTTTGGATTGATTTTTGTTGGTTGGCCTTTACATTACTTTTCATGGACGTTTGTTCGGAGGTGGGACTTAGACTATGTTTGGTAGTGGGACAGACCATATATCATGGGTTTTTTTAATAATTATTTTTTTTTTCAAAAATTGGTGTTCTGTTAATACATGGAATTTTTAATTGATTGCACTTTACTTTCTGTATTTCTCCAGGATGCGAGGAAAGACTAGGTTGAATAAATATTATGGTGGGGTTTTAGTGAGGTCCCCTGTGGTTGATTATGTTGGAGGTAGCTTAATTAAAGATGATGAAGTAGACCCT